GACGCCTGGGATACACTGCCATCGAACCTGCAGATCTCTAGACATACTGAGAATATGTATAGGACCCACAGCTCCAATACTGAATTTATAGCCAAGCACCCTAACCCAAATTTGATCATAGTGGAAGCCAACTTGTCTAAATCAAGAAATAAATTTTTGATTTCCCTTACAAATAAAGAAGGCAGGAAACTCGATGTTATGGCAAGAAGAATTTATTCCATTCAGTCTTTCCTCCTTTGACTGGCCAATTACCAGACGGCAATGGGTGTCTACCAACGGCATTTGTGGTCTAAGATCTTACCACCCTTGGAATCTGCCCCTGAATCAATTGCAACTGACATCATGAATGCTCATGCGGAGGCTATGTCTCTGGCAAAACAACAAAAAATTGTAGATAGACATGCAGCTGAAGCTGCCTCCAAAGCATTGGCATCTTTCATAGCTATACCTAGGCATGCTTGGTTGAGATCTACGGCCTTGAATGATGATGCAAAGAACAGAATTGAAGAATTAATAATAATAATAAAATAATAATAAATATAACAAATAAGAGCTCCCCTTTCATGGCTCGGGCCTCTTCAACCAGAAAACAGATGACACCATGGAGAACCTCCATAAGATCTGTAAAACAGCTAAGTCTTATATGACTCAGCAGTCCTTGCATCCCTACAAATTTCCTTACAGGCAATCACAATATTACCAGCAGCCTTCTCAACCATACCAAAGATACCAGCCATACAAACAATTCTGCTCTCAACAATCGGACAGATCCTGCTTGGCTTCAGGACCATCGATGCCCACCTCTCCTCGAAGCCATCAACAGCGATGTTAGCCATTACCCAAGCTACAAAAGCGGGGTAAGGGCTATCAACAATACTAACGTTTGTTCTTTGATACCGTTTTGTTTTTGCCTCCTGTTTTGTTCAAGATTGATACCTTTTTTCCCCTTTTGGAAATATATCACTAATGACCAGTGGGTTTTCAATATTATTTCATCGGGTTACTGCACTGAGTTTGCCTCCATCCCGCCCTTGGGCAATCCAAAGTTTACCCCACATGCTTTGGCTCTTCAAGAGGGAATTTCGACTTTACTCGACAAACACGCCATTATCCAGGTCCCATCATCAGACTCCCTTAATGGTTTCTGTTCTAAATACGTCATGGTACAGTGGTGCCTTACAAGACGAATGCCTCATGGGATGAAAAACTCACAAGACAAAAGGGTCTTGAGAGTTTTTTGGTGCCTTGCAAGACGGGCCCTCTAGTGATATTTTTCGCTTTGTGAGGCACATTTCCCATAGGAATGCATTGGAATTAAATTAATGTGTTCCTATGGGGGGGAAAGTCAGCAAAAAGTCACTAAGTACAGTAGACTGAGCCCAGCTCCTCACAGTGCCTTTGTAGCCTCGGAACAGCCGGAAAAAGAGTGCCAAACAGCTGAGTTGGCAACCAGCGGGGAGGCGGCAGCCATTTTGTAGTCATCTCCGCTCCTGCCCCCTCTCCCCGCCTCTCAGATGATTGGCGCTGGGTCTAAGAGGCTTCCCGAGGCTTGCCTAGCACGGAGAAAGGCAGGGGGAAAAAGTGGGAAATTCAAAAATGGTGTTTTTCCCCCTTCTTTTTTTAGTGCTGGGCAAACCCTGGGAGGCTTCTGAAAGTGGCACTTTGCCACACACACACACACACACAGCCAGTGCCGCTTTCAGAGGTCCCCCGCCAGTCTTCCGATGGTGCTGGGAGCGCTGCTTTCAGAAGCCTCCCGGCGCCAATCAGCTGAGAGGCGGGGAGAGGGGGGCAGGAGCAGAGACTACCACAAAATGGCTCCAAACCTAAGTCGACATCAACTTCTAAGGTGACCAGGGGACACAATGCACCTAAGAGAAAGAAAAACTAATCACTAAAAAGACTAAGAAAACTAAGTCAGTGCATCTTGAACCTCCACTAGAGACACTACCATTGGCAGTTCTGGAAGAATCCTCGAGGGAGGCTGTCGAATCTATGTCTGAAAGGGAAGACGTGCAAGTTCCATCTGCACAAGCTCCGGCACCGACCGGTAGCTTATCTCCTCCAACCAGCCATTTGGTGACTGAGCTTCCATTCAGTCCAGCCACAGCCCATTCAAGCTCTACATCAGGGCGAGCGTTTGACAGTGAAGATTCAGAACCCGAGGCTCCCCCTCAGTCTCCAAAGAAAAGGAAGGAATAAAGGACGCATGTCTCACCACCCCAATTCATGTCTCAGTATGGGCAATACTACCAATTCCCTTTTTCCCCTGCATATCAACAATTCGGCATGGAAGGATGTTTCCCTTATGCCGACTCGTATCAGATGGGAGCCTATCAAGATCAGGCTCGACATGGACAACCTAAACGTATGCGCCAATATTCTCCATTGGTATAGCCGCTCAGAGTGGTATAGATTTACCAGATGAGCGGGATATAAATCAAATAAATAAATAAATAAATAAATAAATAAATAAATAAATAAATAAATAAATAAATAAATAAACCAAAGATCGCACAAATCAGCACTGGTCCCGACTTCGACATCGAAACCTTCAAAAAAGCATCCGGCACTATCACATCAGGTCGAACACTCCAAACGACTTATGCACTCTCCTAATGGAGAACAGACTCTACAGGTGGCCACAACATACTCCGGTCCACCTCCTACAGCTCATCTACATTCTAAATAAATAAATAAATAAACCAAAGATCGCACAAATCAGCACTGGTCCCGACTTCGACATCGAAACCTTCAAAAAAGCATCCGGCACTATCACATCAGGTCGAACACTCCAAACGACTTATGCACTCTCCTAATGGAGAACAGACTCTACAGGTGGCCACAACATACTCCGGTCCACCTCCTACAGCTCATCTACATTCTCAATCTTCTAAGTCTTCTCAACTCATGCCACCTCCTTCTTTAGATGTGGACATAACCTCATCTTCACTGTCTACTTCTGATCAGGAACTGGAATCTGATTCCTCAGATGAGTCATCAGCCAACATCCCTACACTGTCTTCGGATGCGATAGATCATCATCCTTCGTCACCCTCAGAGGACTTCACATCATACTCACAACTTATTTCTCGGATGGCCAAATCACTCCAGTTACAAGTAGAAGAACCCCCTTCTCCAGAAGCTGACCTTATTTTTTACGATATCAATCGGGAAAGATCACCACCACTTAACCTGGCATTTATACTAGCTATGCTGAAGTTGATAAGGGATGCATGGGACAACCCATCTGCTAATCTACAAATTTCAAGACGAATGGAAAATATGTATAGAATACATGGAAAAGATACGGAATTCTTGGCCCAGCATCCTAGTCCTAATTCGATCATCGTAGAATCCAGTTTATCAAAGGCTTGAAACAAATCTTCTGTGACCCCTACCAACAAAGAGGGCAGAAATATTGACATTCTGGGTAGAAAGATTTATTCGCTTCAGTCATTCTTACTCCGTTTAGCCAACTATCAGGCAGCGATGATCACAGGAGACATAACTGGCTAAGATCCACTGGCCTATCCGATGATGCCAAGGCCAGAATTGAAAACCTTCCATTTGATGGTACCGGTCTCTTCAATCTAAAGACCAATGAGACAATGGAAAACTTACACAAAATAAGAAAAATGGCTAAGTCATACACGAACCAACAGTCCTTTCATTCTTCCAGACCTCAATATAGACAATCTCAGTTTTACCCACAATCTTTTCAACCATATCAGAGATTCCAGCCTTACAGACAATTTTGACCTCAATCAGCAGACAGATCATACCCAACTACTGGTCTCAGGGTAAATCTTGCAAAGTCTCACCTAAAACCATCCCAGACAATTACCTACATTGGAGCCATCCTTGATTCTGTTCGTGCCACTAGAAAGAATAAAAAAACTACAGAGAGCAATCTATATATTTTGACCTCAAGCTCTGGGTCCAGCCCGTCATGTGCAGCATATACTTGGGCTCATGGCCTCCATGACATCAGTGGTACAACATGGCAGACTCAAGCTCAGATCACTCCAATCATGGTTCTCATCGCTGTTCGACTCGGTGACGGACCACCAGTCTATGAATTTACGAGTAACACCAAAGTTAGCTGCCCAACTCACCTGGTGGATTTCCATGCCAAATATGCAGGTCAGATGCCCATTCAGAGCCCTCCAACCGACGGTGCAGGTCACCACTGACGCCAGCCCATCCGGATGGGTGGGACACATTGCTTCTACCCCAAAATTCATGGCCTGTAGACGAAGCGGGAGAGATTGCTACATATCAATCATTTAGAACTCATAGCGATTATCAGGGCATTCCATGCCTTTCTTCCAATCATAGAAGGTCGATTAGTACAGTTGGTCGATTAGAACTTCCCGCCCCCCCCCCGCCAGCTCACCCACTGACCTGCTAGTATATGTCACTCTTTCCCTCCCTGTTGCACGATCTTCCAGGAGACCAGGCTTCCCTTCTCTGCCTCCTCCAGCAGCTGGTCACTCAGACAAGGAGGTGGGGCAGGGATTCCTGCAAGTGCTGTTGGAGAAGACTGACAAGGGAAGTATGGGCTCCTGCCTGGACTAGAAGATTGTGCAGCAGGGAAGAAAGTACCAGCATGCGCCAGCAGGGCAGTGGGTGAGCTGGTGGGGGAAGGGGGGAAAGGAATGTGCTGCTGCTGTGCTGCTACACAGATGACTTATGACAAAGAGGCACCATGTACTTCGTGGTCATCTCTAGTTTCAATTTAATACATCAAATGTCCATTTAATGTAATTTTTAAAATTCTCTTAGCAAAAGGGATATTTCCATAAATATTGTGGTAAAATGTTGCTGAAATTAATTCTGCAACTGATAGTGAGGTGATTGATTAGGCTGGCTGTTACATAGAGTGTGTCTGATTTAGCTTTCAGCAAGAGTGGAAAGCAAAGTAATTCTGAATATTTGGATTCTATTGGGACCACAAGATGGTATCTTCATTGTTAAATTTTTGTGTTTGCTTTTAGATCTCCGAATTCCATTGATGTGGAAAGACTCTGACCACTTCAGCAACAAAGACAGTATGTATGCTTATTTTTAAAAACATGGTCATGTGAAAGTTGGGGTAGCTCCATCTCAATGGCAGTAGTGGTTTAGCAGAGAGCATCGTACAGATGTTATTTCTCACTTTGTATATTACTTCACAGTAGTTCTAGGGTTCACCAACATGTTTGTAGCATTTATTTCAGATAGGCATAGTTATGGTATAGTTCTTAATGGGCAATGCTTGGAAAAATGTGGAGTGAGGGAAGTAAATTGTGTTTTCCATTTATTGAATAACAGGAGAGTTGAAACATCAGAGGAAGATACAGAAAGTACTCCTGGCAGTTAAAACAGTAAAATGTATCTAAAACAAAGTTTGTTTCTGGTTGGGTGGATGATTGGCTTGTCTTCCCAAACGCATGCAGTTTGCTGTGTCATGGAGATTAACCCTGAGTCTTTTTAACTGTCTTTCCCCATTGATTTCCCTTAGAATTTCTATAAGGTCAGAGAAGCTCAGCAAAGTGAAATACTCTAATCCTTCATTGTGCATTCATAATACAGTGTGTACTAAAGGTATTGTAGTGTGTGCGTATCTCTCCCTCTCTCTGTTTTACACACATGCACACATACACACACATTCATATTGTGTTATACATAATCTGATACATAATTATTTTTACAATTTTTGTAGGAACACAGCGTTACTCTGTTTTTTGCTTACTCAGAATTGGAAGTCAGGTTTTTGATACAGACCTTCTTCTTGTGGATAAAGCAATCACAGACATATGTTTTGAAAACGTAACTATATTGTAAGTATCCATGGTCTCTTTAATTTAAGAAATGCAACAGTTTTGTGAAGCAAAAGAATCCCTTGTATTACATGGTGGAAACAATTAGAAGTTGTCAAATCAATGGCTACATTGTATAATCTGAATTGTGAACATGTGACAATTGCATCCTGCCCATTGCTCAACGAATTGAAGACATGAAAGGCGGGAAAAATGGCCAAGGCCAGAACAAGATCCCAGATGGCACCTAGCATCTACAACATGCGGATTGTATATCCTTTTATTGGAGCTCTGTTCTGAGTAAGTGATGCAATATGACCTTGCCATTGATCAGGGTTTATTCATATACTTCTGCTTCCTTCTGCCCTGTGCTTTGTTCATGTTTTAGGCTTTGTCTCTAATTTATGTGCACATATACATAGTTAAGATGCATCCAAACATGGAAGCTTAATTATAGTAAATAGTAGAAGCTAATGCTCTGTTTCCAAACTTCAGATGCTTAGTATCTTGTATTGCTGCCCAAAGGCCTTATATTGAAGCTTGGGTACCCAGAATGGTTTTGTATTTGAACAACTTTTCCCCTTTTTTCACTGTTTGATATAACTTTGACAGAATAGAAAATGAAGAAACTGTTGATTGCATAGCATAGGCATCCTTCAGTCTCGAGAGACTATGGTAACATGCTCTGAATCGAGGAGTGTCCTCTCCAGAGCATGAAGCCCGGGTAAGGTAATATGGAGGATAGGCTGTTACCCAAGCAGCAGATCCCCCCTCTCCACATTGCTGAAATGGTCCAATGGAAAGGCAAGAGCCAATACAACTGGTTCCAGCAATGTCGCAGGAGTTGTGATATAACTTTGACAGAATAGAAAATGAACAAACTGTTGATTGCAATGTTAAATGATTCAGAATCCCTTAGGATTGATTGATATCGGTGGAAGGACTGCTCTTTTCCTTTTGAGCCTTCACAATGAGAATGCCTTCCATGGCTGACGAGCCCCACCTCGAGCCCCATGCAATGTTAAATGATTCAGAACCCCTTAGGACTGATTGATATCGGTGGAAAGACTGCCCTTTTGAGCCTTCACAATGAGAATACTTCATTCAAGTCTATTTGAGATTAGGCAGATGGTAGCAAAAGAGGCAACGTGAGGGGGTTGTAGTGTGGTATGTTATATTTGGCGTACCCACTCCAGAAGCTTGTCTCACACCAATGTGGATGGCTTTTCAATGCTGGCAAAGAATTTTCTATTCACCCTGGTATTCCGAGATGTTTCATAACTGGTATTAGTTCTCCATTCACAGCTTTGCTGGGTTTTAATAATTTTGTAGCTGCTGTTCCTGTGCTTTTAATGTTTTGGATAGAAGTTTTGTATTGTTTTAATAGAACTGAAAGTCTTGTCTTGAAAAATAGCAAACAAATAAACTAAATAAAACAAGCAAGTAAATAAGTAAATAAATAGTTCATTCTTTAAAAAAATTACAGTTTTAGTAGTTGTGCTTCACTTAATGCTGTGGAACAATCTTTTCTAGTGAGAAAGCTGGGCCAGACTTTCAGCTTAAAGTTGAAGTCTACAGCTGTTGCTGTACTGAAGAATCTTCAACAATTACGAACACTCCCAAGAAACTAGTTAAGAAGTTCAAGACCTCAATTGGGAAAGCCACTGGGAAGAAACTCAGTTCTGCATTAGATGATGGCAACCTTGAATCTTTACTGTTTGCTGACACTGTAGTACTGTGAGTTGGCTGTTATCCAATCGGGGTTGATTTTTTTTTTATTTAAAATGCCTGGGAAAGGTATCACTGCTTTCTTTAGCAATGTTTTTTTCATAGCTAAATTCCAAAAATCCTAAATCTTCTGTCCCAGCAATAACTGGGGAGAGATTTCATCTGACAATTTCCTTTTCTCCCACTTCTGCGTATTCTTTGTATGGAGACAAAAAAGTGTAATTCAAATACTCTTCCACTATGCAACCTATAATGTAGCTGGATCATTCCACTTTCAGTAGCAGAAGATACCGCTTGGCAATTAATCTTCCATTCAAAGAGTGACAAAGGCTGGACTGAATGCTGTTAGTTTAAATTCTGAGGTGTGTGTCTAGATCTGTCACTAGTATTGCTTTCCCAAGTAGGCAACAGTTCACTTGGTGCTAGAGGAGGCAGCAAAAGACAAGTTGTTTCTGTATTTGACTGGAAGAGGAATTGATCTCTGCTATTTCTTGTCCTGTGTTTCAGCTGACAGCATTCTACTCACACTGTTGATTGTTCACTATATTAAGAATATTACTCAGAATGATAAATCACTGGAATTGAGAGCAAGGGATGGCTGGATGAAAGAAAGAATAAGAATACAGAAAAATGTCTTATCCAGGGTTAGACCCCTTGTCCATCTAGCCTAGTATTGGCTACTCTTGGCTGGCTCTGGCTTTCCAGGGTCTCCGGAAGATGTCTTTCCTATTACCTGCTCCCCTCCTCTTTCTTTTTAACCAAGGATGCCAATGATTGAACCTGCCAAATTCTGCATTTAAAGCATGTTCTTTGCCTCTTTGCTGTAGTTGATTTGCCAAAGAACAGACAAAGAGGGATTAATGACAGAAGAACTCTTGTGGGAGTAAACTGATACTATGCATGACTGTAGAAATTTTACTACTGTAATGCACTTAGTATCATTTTATTGTCTTTCTGTACTAAATGGAGAACAGCTTGCATTGTCTGTAGTGACTGTGGGTGAGCTACTGCCTCACAGCATAGAATCTTATGCTCTGCACTCCACCACCCACCCCATTTTGAAGGCCATGCATGGAATGAGATGTTCGCTATATGCTTTAGCATTTGTCGTACTATAATAATGGTATGACATCCTGGCAATCCTATTTCAGATAAATACAATAGTATATTGTCTGATACTGTTGTGTAATATCAATGAATTGGCAGCCTGTTATGATTTTTATGAATATAGAAGCAATTTGTAAGTAGAATGAGAAGCATCAATGATAGGTCTTGTAAGTGAAATGTTAGTGGAGTATTCTGGAAAGGGTTTTTTGTAACAGGAATAGCTGCACACACTCACAAATAGGTTGCAGTTGGTAAAAGTCTATATTGGTTCTGGCATTTGATCAAAAGACTGGTCAACGGGCAGCCATTGTCCTGAAGACAAAATGAGGAAGAAATTATTAACATAGAGATATTAAAAAGTTTGGTCACATGTTATAGAGAAAGCTGTGGATATGTGAATACTATTTCAGAGCTTATGAGTGTAGTTGGCCTGTTTCTACAAATATGCTTCCATTTAAGGCAATAATTTAATTCAAACATTTAGGCAAAACATTGCTAGCAGTGCTAATTAGCCCGTTAAATTTGAAAACTGATAGAGATTTGAAAGACTAAAAAATTGGCAACTGATAACAGTTTTGGAAATGAGATACTGAAGTTAGCCAAAAAAAGAGAGAATCTCATGTTTTAGAAGGAAAATGTTACTGTGAAGCATATTTTAATAGTGAAGTAGTTTGTTTTCTTTGGCAAACTGTGCACTATAAATAGTAAGGATCTCGCACTTGAACATTTAGCACAAAGAGATTTCCATCTCTAAAACAAAACACAGTTATTTAAAATGGAACAAAAATGTTTAGTTACAGATGACTTTTATGTGTTTGCCTAGTGATTGAGAATCTTTCGGTTGTAATCAATTTATGACCAGCACCTTGTTTTCAGCTGTTCAGAGATTTTTCTCTTGATGTGCTAATGGAAATTGCACAGCAATGGTGTTTATCCTGGCTAATACAGTCAACTCTCGACTTACAAATGGCCCTAGTTACAAACATTTCGACTTACAAACCTGTCTGATAGAAAAATATTGACTCAACTTGCAAACTTAGATTCGAGTTACGAACCGAAAAAAAACATGCAGGAGGGGGGGAAAACGCGAAATTTGAACTTTTACTTACAGGATTCGAGTTACGAACCGAAAAAAACCACGCAGGAGGGGGGAAAGCGCGAAATTTGAACTTTCACTTAGTTGTTGGCCAGTGAAGAGTGTGCCTGTCTGCTTCCTCGCTCTTCCCAGCGTTTTGAGAGTGGATTTGGAGACAGTCTTCAGATTGCCTGGTATTGCCTGGTACAGAGCTGTACGGACTGTATTTTTAGTTTTTGGCCTTTTTAACATTTTTGATTTTTGGATTTTTAAAAGGTGTTCTCTCCTTTGCTGCCCCCCTTTTCCCCAAAAGGTGCTTGTATTGGCTTGTCTTGATTGAAAAGGTGCTTTTCAAGGTGATCTGTTGTCTGAAAGGTGGTTGGTTTTTCCCAGAAGGTGCTTGTATTGGCTGAAAAGGTGCTTTTCAAGGTGTTCTGTTGAAAAGGTGTCTATTCCCTCCTTCCCTCCCTCTTTCCTTTCCTTTTTTTAAAACCTAAGTCACCTTAGATTAAAAGGAAAAAAAACAAATTCTGCCCCTAGTGGTAGGAACGGATTAACCAACTTTGCATTCGTTCCTATAGGAACTAATGATTCGAGTTACAAACTGCCCCTCGACCTAAGAACCAAAAACAGCCAGAACGGATTAATTGGTTTTCAATGCATTCCTATGTGAAATGCTGATTCGACTCACAAACTTTTCGACTTACAAACTTCCTTCCGGAATGGATTAAGTTTGTAAGTCGAGGGTTAACTGTAAGTGAAACAAATGTAATCATTACCCTATGATAATTCTTGGCGTGGGGAAACTTCAGAGATATGAATAAAGAAGAGTGAGCTGTTTAAGTGTTCTACTATGGCTGGAGCAAGCCAAAAAGCACTTGGAAGCTTGACGTTGCCTCTTTGCTAAGATATTTAACTTGAAACTAAGAGGTTTTAGTGTTTATTCCTTTTAGAATTAATTCCTAAGTATTAATTAATCTCTAAAAGTCAAACAAGTTGTTAATTATCATGTCAGTTATGAATCTTTTTGGGGGAGTCTGGGTCAAAGACAGGGCCAGTGACAACCAAAAGTACTCAGAGTACCATTTACTTCTGTAACTGCTGGTACCTAATGCTTTTTGTAGATAAAAGTATCTGTATTTGGATACCCAAGTACTGTACTTGTGCACTTTTTAAAAAATGTAACACATTTAGACCTGCAACTGTGCAGTACAATGGGTAGAGTTGTAGTGCTTAATAAGCCCCAAGAACACGGCATGGAGGGAGAATATGACAGTGGCAAAAGTAAAAGTTTGGTTAATGAAAGAGTTTATAGATGGAAAAAGATCAACACATGAGCCCTCTCTAGTTCAAATACTACCTGGTTCCAGTACTGGTGCACTGTCTTGTGTTCTGAGTTGCAGATAATGTATGTCTTAAAAGCACTCCACACTAAAAAAATGGGGGAAAATACAACTCTTATAAAACAAACATAGCTGAAACATACTAGCCACAAAGGCATATGTTTGCTTTTTCCCTTTCACCATTTGCCTTCTGAGCTAAGGGAGGTCTAATACACAGTTAGCCTGTTCATCTAATCTTCCAGTAAGAATTAGCCTGGGCTTAGGAAAGTTTTTTGTTTGTTTGCTGCTGCTGCTGCTGCTACTACTACTACTACTACTACTACTACTACTAGAATCTGCCAGTGGCTAAGGTAGCAAAGTACTGTTTCGGTATGAAGTATCTGTATGATCATTCACGTAATCAAAGGAAGATGGGCCCCATGGGGCCATCAAGGAAAGAGGCAATATTTCGTTGGTCATTATAGAATAATAGAATTTTAGCCCATATGGAAAAAAAGGAAAGGATCTGGAAGAGGCTTCTGCTAGGTGACAGACTCCTAGTGCACACAGTTTGCCTGCATTCAACCATTTTGCAGAGACAGTTTAGACCCTCCAAGATATGGTTGCTAAACCATTTGTTTTTGAAAGATAGATACAGAGTTGTTCCACATTTTTCCAACACTTTTTGACAAATGGTTTATAAAGAGCAAAGAAATATAAAAGCCTTTGATTTAACTGACCTTTCTCATGAAGCTTGCTGCTCTTTCCACATAAGTGAAATAAGACATAATTTATTTATCTTAACCAGTGGTGCAAAATATGGCTTGCTGGCACATACATCTTTGGGGCTGGAAAGTGTTGAGGACAGTTTCAAAACCCACAGCATCACTATTGTAGGAAATGGTAAGTTCATGTTTCATATGAGAAATGATATGTGTATAGAATATTTTAATTTAGATTATAAGTATCAAAAGTACCTATTCTTTTTCTTCCATTCCTCTGCTGACACCTGTAGTGTATGAAGGAAATGTTTCTTTCTGCTGCCTACCACTATTTTAAAGGAGAGAATTACAGTTAAGATGATAGAAAGCCCTCCTCACTATTAACTTGTATACTGTATGTTCTCCCAAACCCATGCCATGCAGGTTTACAGAAAAGCAGGTCCAATTTTTGCTCGTTAAGAAATATTCTCAAGTCATTAGTTATAGAGCTGCAGCCTAAGATAAATAATAATGAGATCTAAGTTGTTAATTGTAATTTTTATTTTAATAAATAATGCTGTATGGTGCAAAAACTAGATATTGCTAGGTAAAGTGAGAGAATATGTATTGCTTTGCCAGCATGTTTAATCATGTCCAGAGGAATTGCTCTGGACATGATTAAACATGTTCATCAAAAGTATTTTGCACTATTAACATGTTGGCAATTCTAGTCATGTTTTCGATGGAAGTTTCATTGAAATGTTCATTCTGGATCACAATCTTAGAACAACTTTGGACATACAGTGGTGCCTCGCTTGACAATGTTAATTCATTCCAGCGAAATCACTGTAGAGTGAAAACATCAAACGAAACGAAAAAACCCATTGAAATGCATTGAAAACCGTTCAATGTGTTCCAATGGGCTGAATACCTGCTTGTCCAGCAGATCCTCCATACGGCGACCATTTTCGGTGCCTGTAAAGCGAGGAATGCGTCCTAGAAAAGAGCGGGGGCCATTTTCTTCAGCTAGTGGCCATTTTGAAACCTGACGATCAGCTGTTTGCTGATCGTCGTAAAGCAAAAAATCGGTTCCCGAAGCAGGGAACCGATCATCACTAAGTGAAATTCCCCCATTTAAACCATCGTTTTGCGATCGCGTAATGCAGATTCGTCAACATAATGCGGATTTGTCGTAGAGCAGGGTAATCGTCCTGCGGGGCACGACTGTATGTAACTTTATTCTGGAGTCCTCTGGAAAGTGCTGTTGTAATCTCTGCAGATGTTACTTTTTCCTTTTGTTTTTCTATATCTTGTTCTTTCATGCAGTATCTGTGGACGTAATCACATATAGCAGCAGTGTTTTCAACCTGGGGAACAAACACCAGTACTTTTAGAAAAGATATGTGTGAAGACACTGCAATAACTTCAAAATGTGTAATAGTAAACTGACGTTCCAAAGTGAGAGTAGATTTAAGTGCAGTTTTTTTTTCATATTGGTTGGTGCATTTGGGTATAGAAGACTTTTAATGTATTAACAGGCACTTGACCATGTGTCTTGGATTCTATTGGCAAACTCAGAAAAATCTTGGTTGTCCAAACCATGTGGTCAATGTGGCTACTATTCTTTGGTGTTCTCACATCACCATGTGCTACAAAGATTAACACTTTATTTGAAATTTACAAATCATGTATTTGACAAGATGGTTTGTTCAGTCTTGAGGCACACAATTTCAGTCCTTCCTCTGATTTGTAGCCAACTATTAGTTTTAAAAATCAACTAATGGCTAATCTTTTATGTTTTTTAAGAGGAATCATCTTTTTGGCTTCCATTGTACGGCAGCATGTGTTGTCGTTTAGTTGCCCAGCCATTCTGTATGGTCAAGGATATGATTTCTGGATTTCTTAATCAGCAGGTAAAGTACAGTATTTTCTTTCAAAATGGCAAAAATCTTATTGGAAATACAATATATATAAGAGTAATTATGCTGGGGGCATTCCTTCTTTGCTTGCCATCTGTGCCTCAATTGTAGTGGTCTCCAACCTTTCTAACCTCACGGACCAGTTGTGGAAGGTGGGGTACCGTGCTCACGCACATATGCAAAGGAGCGGGCACATGCGCAGTGGCACGCATTGACGAAGGAGCAGGGGCGTGCATGTCAGCACGCATGCGCAAAGGGCGGGGGCACTTGGACACACTTGCATTCGCAGAGCGACGGCCCCAATGGGCGAAAATCGCAGAGCGAAGGTCAGTAAGCGGTTCACTTACCGACCTTGGCTTTGCGACCCGCCGATCAGCTGTTCCGCAGCTACAAAATGGCCACCGGAAGCCCCCAAATGGCCGCGCGCAGCGTTTTCGCCCCCTCGTTAAGCAAGGGGAGGGTGCGAAAATGGCTGCCGGCCATAGAGGAACATCGCTGTACGGTGAGTAAATCAGCCGATCGGAACGCATTAAACTAAGTTTAATGCATTCCAATGGCTTTTTTCTTTCCGTACAGCGATGTTTCACACAGCGAGGGTTAATCTGGAACGGATTAACCTCGCTATGCGAGGCACCACTGTACTTACATTTAATTGGCTGACATAAAGCTTACATAAGTACTTTCTTTTTCTCTTTTGTGACTTTTTTTCTGTCTGAACAAATTGCTGTCTTGGGTTATCAATATATAGGAAGATACAGAATGCTTAGAAAAAGAGGAATTCTGTATGGAGCCAGAAGGGAGCTACTGTGCTATGGAGAATCCTGCTGGTACACAAACAGCAAGAGACCATTTTTCTTTAAATTTTTCTTTATTGTTTTTATTTTCCTTTCCATGGAAAATAAGGGGGCAGGGGGACAGATAACTACAATACCCTAAAAGCTGGTATAGGTAAGAACTTAACTCTTGAGGTTCATAAGGAAATGGAGGGACTTTGGCTTCATTGGATCCAAAGCTACCTCTAGACCCAAAATACCACATTCCGAGACCTTCTCTTAGTTATTACCATTTTGAGTACCTGCATAGCCACAACTGGTATTTCTGGGGCCTTTGGAGCAGATGTACACTTCTCTCAGGGAGAGGCCCTTTATACTGAAAATTTTAAGAATGCTCTTACTTGGTTAGCGATAAAAGTACTCAGAATAATTACGCTATATTAAAAGTATGCACAACTTATACAGGTATTTAAGAAATAAATGTCATACATACACCTGCTTGAGAATTAATGCAGATTGAAAATATTCCAGTTGAGTTTTAAGGTATTGTGCAATACTTTTAGATTTTTTTTCTTTCTTTCCTTTTCCTGAGTTTGCCTGATATTAGCAGCTGTGATGAACAGCATTGGGATCCACCTTCTCTTGAATGCTGTTCGAAGGCTGAAGAATGGAGTGGCTGTTAGAGTAAAGAGTTGTTGTTAGATAGAGAGAATGGAGAATTCAGCTGTGTCCTATTCAGGTGAACAGACAATGGGGAGAGTTAGGCAAGATTGGAAGTGACACAATTCTAACAGAAACAGAGTTTGGTTGTAGTGGTTTTTCTGGGTTGTTTGGCTGTGTTCTTAAGGTTTTTCTTCCTAACATTTCGCCAGTCTCTGTGGCCAGCATCTTCAGAAGACAGGAGTCAGAGTTCGGCCACAGAGACTGGCAAAACATTAGGAATAAAAATTTTAAGAACACAGCCAAACAACTCAGAAAAACCACTACAACCACCAGATCCCGGACGTGAAAGCCTTCAAGAATACAGAAACAGGTTTGATTTTCAGATTTTGAAAATAACGTTTGACTTTCTTGTAGTTCTAATTGCTGCTGGAGACAGTTTGGGCATGGGAGTAGCTGGACTCCAGCCATGCACTGACAAGAGTGTAAGGAGACACATAACCTTATCCTCTGGTGCAGTGCCTGTTTCCTTCCAGAGTCCTGCGATGAGCTCTGGAAAAGAGCAATAATGTGGGGCATAGGACAGCCAGGTGAATAAGAAGTGGTTGCCAAAGGCATATGTTATCAAAGCAGCTGTTTTTGAGTATTTAAGACCAGGTAGCATTTGTCCTTAATTGTAGCAAATCCAAGTCTACATTATGTTTTAATTTTTGACTGTATGTGCATAAAATCTAATGTACAGTTTTTGACAGAAATCAGTACCAGTCTCGGAGTGAAGCTGTATCTTTCGACATTCAAATGTTGTTTATAAAGGATTTGTCGTCCCCATATCTTTTCTTAAAGTGAATCCTATAGCGGCCTCTGACCAAAGCATTGCACTCTTAGCTGGCTGACAGGAAAGTAGAAAAATTGTGTAGCTTCTTATGACCATGTTTCCTGCTTTCAGATGTTCACCATGGCAACATGCGATCTCAGCACAGGGAAGCAGCTCCCAAGCAGATAGCAGTACATTTAAAAAAACACATGTCAAAAAATCACAACACACTCAAAATGACAATTTTTAAAAAATATTATAAATGAAATTATAGGGCAGAAACTCATTTACAAGCCATTGATTTAAATGACTGTTGAAACAAAATTATTTTAAACATTTGTTTTAAAATTAAAAGTGGAATGACTCAAAGTATGCCTCCCTTAGAATGTCATTCTACAATTTAGGTGCCACAGTTTAGGTTTTGTGAGATTAACTATTGTGATATACTTAGAAATAAGGCTCATAACTTAAGTCTCATAAAATTTATTAATATATGGGACATGTATTTAATATTTAAAAAATTAAATCTACTACAAAAAAATTACCAGCCTACAGTTTATTATTTTACCCATGATGGATTTAGGATTAGGTTCTTTTTTTATTTATTTCAATCAGGAGGGTGGTATAAGTATCAACAAATAGTCTTCTGTTAGATTTGGGAATCCATCCTGTGTAACATCCTTAAAGGCCTGTGATGTTTATTTCCATCTGGACTAAGGACTCATTACAAAGTATAGATACAGACAGGGTCTTTTCCAGGGAGTCTCAGCTTCAGGATCTGCCCTACCATAGTGTGTCATAATTTCAGTGTTTCAGTGAAGCTGAAACATTGGGAGACCAGACTACTGTGGGTCTGGATTCCAACATAGTCACTCTGGATGGAATGGTCAAAGCTGAGCCTAGACTAAGATGCATCCATCCTCTTCAAGTTTTAGTGGTCACACCAGCAGAAGAGACTTGATGATTTCAGTGGTGATGAGGGCAGAAAAACTCTTGAAGGACAGCTAGTGGGTGGCAGCAGAGGTAGAAGATGACACTAGCAAGGAGCCTGTCAAAGATAATGGCAACTAGACATATATGTTCTTTGCACACTGCAGAAGAGAGCAATGACAAACCACTTCTGAATACTGTATGCCTTCAAAGCCCAGTGAAGAGACAGTCCAAAATAAAAGGGACAACATTGTAATTAATCCATAACATTGTCTTAATCAGTAGTCTGCTTCTCAGTTTTTCTTGCAGAATAGGCCTCCTCCTTTCTAGCATGCTGGAAATATAGCCTCTGTTAACTTAATTTTGGATTAAAGCTGCTAGATTTAAACTTTACCTTTACCCTGTATATATACCATAAAAATATTATTAGAATGCTCAGTAACTCAGCCCACTACACTGGAAGGATATTTATTTGTTTATTTATTTTCCCCAAAGCTATCTGTAGCTGTTGGATGCTTGGGTTGATGGACTGTGATATTCACAGCCTATCCCCCAACATTATTTGTTTCTCTCCATTTTTGAGGAGGCAAGGTCATTTGACCGATTGGGGACTTTAAACCTGAGGTTTCTTTTACGGCTACCTGGTGCATAAAACAATTGTGTGGGCCACTGAGGATGGGTATTGCTTGTTTTGCACTTCTTTCCAGCTTCCATACTTTTTATATCCATTCTCACAGTGTGTTTTAAAGTACCATTGTTATTACTAAAGGCCTCTTAATTGATTGTTGCATCTTAATTGCCATTCAATATTATACATGTGAAATCCTAGTCATGTTTTTTGGTGAATGATTTCATCTGGTTCTTCAGAACATATGTTAATAGGCAATATCTGTCAGAATTACATGCAAATAGATTTTGGAAATTAGGAACAAAAGACAGGAGAAGAAACTAAAAATAATGGTTAGTGTAGATTTTTAAAGTACTAATTGTGTCATTAACAGTGCTATAGCAACATTTGCATTAGTTTCTACTGCTGAGAAAACTAAAGGATAAGATGGCCAGGTAAATCTTTTAGACTTTTTAAAGATCATAATGAACTATTATCAAGGGGGAAATTGGCTGATTAATTGAAAATGTAATGCTGTCTTATGTGTGCAGCACACTATTCACATCTTCCACAATTATGTGGATTACTGAAAAGTAGAAACGATAGGTAAAGTAATGATTGATGACAATAATTGAAAAGTACTTCTTTCTTACAGCAAATGGTCAGGAACCTGATTATCTGGAAGAGGCTATACTGTGTGCTAAGAGGTGGCAAACTCCTTTGCTACTATACACCAGAAGAAATAGAAGCTAAAGTGGAGCCAGCTTTGACTGTTTCTATCAATAAGGTAAAATATGACATCTGCCAGCAAACGGAACTTAAATTAATGTGCACCTAGGGTATGCTGTCAATATGACGGGCTGTTTGTGTGTAGATGTAGACAGTAAAGGAGGAGGAGGCATGGTTTCTGGATCATTGACTGAAATCACACGCATTTTGAATAGAGATAGGCATGAACTTCCCTAGCCACTCACCAGCTGGCGCAGGCTCCTTTCTTCCTCTTCAGCTGTTCAACCAGTCCCTGGCAGGAGCACAGATCTGTGTGTCCTGCCTCCTTGTTTGAGTGGGCGATCAGCTGAGGAGGCAGGGCAGGGAAGCGCTCCAGAGACTGGTTGAACAGCTGAGGTGGAGGGAGAGGAACATCCGCCAGCTGGTGAGTGGCGGATCCTGCCAGGAAAGTGTGGGAAGGGAATGTGTTGCACCTGTGGTGCCACACATATAAACTGGCACAAACATCCAAACCAAGGTTCATGCCCATCTCTAGTTCTGAACAGAAAAATTTCACTCATGCAGGTATTTAGTAAAAGTTTGAATTTGCATACAGCTATAAAAGTATAATAGCACAAAAAGGGGTAAGTCAAGAGGGATGAAATGATTTGGCCATACTGGCACCTGACAAGTGTTGGAATAGCAACAGAATCCCTCTATTCAGATTTCTAGCCTGATTGCGTAATTTACATTTCAATTAAAAATATTTGCAGTCCTGAGGAATGTACCTTATAAATAGGAACTGCTCTGGAAATATCATTGCTTTGAACTGAGGGTGAATTAATAAGCAATGCATGGTTTATAACAGATCAATGTTTGAAAATATGTTGGAGATATTATAAGTAAAGAAAACTGTACAAAGAAAAGAAATTGATTCCAATGAAATATACCTGACTTAGCCATAGTTCAGCAAATGTCAGCCCAGCAAGTTTTCCTTCTCCTCCTCCTCTTGCATCCTGGTTTTGGTGTTCAGTCCTAGCCTCTTTTAACCACCGTGACAAGGGGAGGGAGCAGCATACAGGCATAGTTCTGTTTCTTAATAGAATACACCATGGTTTATTAACCCAGGACTATTACACCCATATTTTCCATTGTATGAAGTTAGTGTTAGGAAGATCAGATTTCTCAAGGGCCTGAGATATAAAAGAATTCTTTTCAGGTACAACTCTTTTTAGTCTAGATTTATCCAAAGGTTCTCAAATACAATGAAACTCTTCCTTCAGTTGTTAGGTTTCAATTATTAAACTTCTGCATCAGCTGGAGGCCATACCAGAAAACACTAATGTGTTATACAAAACAAATAACATTAAAATAAACAGGGCATAACTATAATCAAATTATGTCCACTGACAGAAATCATGGCAATCAAACTATACTTCTGTTTCAGTTACCAATAATAACAGCCCTTTTTTAGCAATTCTGCTCTGTGTTTTGCTGCAGCTAGCACACAGACCATTTATTTAGGTCATTGCCAAACATGCTGTGTACAATTTTTGCTGTTTTGACTTACGGGGATATTTTTTCTATTAAAGGCTCTAGAGGTTTCATTCAAATATCTCTTCTTGAAGGAGATTCAAGTAAGATGAGAGAATTTTTCTATTGTCTCCCTCGCACAGATGCTCAAGTATGTAACTCACAATATAATCTTTTATTCAGACACATATCTAATAGCAGCCAGCAGGACAATGGAAGATGCCACAGAAATCTGCCCACATACATTTGACAGAAACTATTTAGGTACATAAATTATTATATACTTTCTTCCCACTACATTGTGAGAAAGAGCTATGTCACTGGCCCACCAATGTGACACCTTTCTGCAACCTTTCTTGGGGTGATACAGAAGTTGCAGAAAAGCATTACCCAAACAACTACAAGTTAAGTGGGGATCAAGTCTAAGCACTGAGATGATAGTGTATGAAAGTCATCTCAGTGGGGTTGCAAGTCAGGGCAGATAATTATACTGCCAGATCAACGGATGCCTTTTCTTTTTTATAGGTTAGTCCAAAGAGAAACAAAATTATTTAAGAACCGTTAATTCTTGTGGATCATTGATGTCATACCCACTGCTTGTGCATATTTATTCAGGATAAGTCCCATTTTGTTAAGTGTGGCTTACTGCCTGGCAAGTGCATTTGGGCTTGCAATCTCAATCTGCACTCTACTGAAGGTGTGCAATCCAAAATGCCCTTATGCAACATTTTCAGCCCTACTGGGTGGAGCTCCACCCCTCCTGCATGCGATTCCGCTGCAACCAGAACCAAAGGGGCTGGAAATACTCACTGGGTGCACGGAGGAGGAGGAATGCTATGCAGAGAGGGCCGTAACATTGCTCACTTGTGCAGCCGCACACCTTAGAGAGAACATTGTCCTTATGTATTTGTATGTGCACAACCAATGTGATTAATGTAGGGGACAACATGGTATGAAAAGGAAAGGGTGGAAATGTGGGCTTGTTTGGTTACTTGGCTTTGGCGATACAAGCCTTTGTATTATACTAGAGGGCTTGTGGGTGCTTTAAATAGCATTCTTAATATGTAGTTTCTTGGATACGTCCCATCTGTTGTATAATGTATTGCTGCTTCAAAAGCGTATCAACCTATTTGTGCTGAAGTTAGCATCTTCTATCACTTAAAAATCAAATGAGGTATAATATGTCTCTTACTTGAGTGCTGCTGTTGTTTTATAAATGCATTAATGGCTTAAGGTACACAGCAAACACTAGATGAACTTATGTCACTGCCTTACTTGAAGTTCTAATCTGTCAAATGTAAATCTATTTGACTTAATTTTATACTGGTATCTATGGTTACCTGCATTAATAAGACACAGCATTTATGGATGAATTACTTAATCTCCTATTTTTAGAATGAAAAATTTAAATGAGCAGATTCATCAGATAAGCTACAAACAGCTGTGTTTGTATTTCAAACAGCTCCTCCAGTAATGCCTCTTTAAAAATGCAGCCTCTCAAGAATATTTTGCAGATTTTCAAAGACTATCAGTCCTAGGTCTTTTTCCCCCGTGACAATATTTGTAACTTACCGTATTTTTTGCTCCATAAGACGCACTCCTCCCCAAATAGTGGGGGAGAAAGTATGTGCATCTTATGGAACGAATACATTAAAAAAGGGGTTCAACCACCACCACCCAAAAGCCTCCTACTGCCATGCTGGGAGGCCTCTGAACTAGCACCAGAGACTGCTTGCTGTTTGGACCTCACTATTCTGCACTGCTGGTTTTCTAGGATCTGCTTCCTGGAGCCCACCTGGAAAACCAGCAAGGCCAACAGGCCTATGGCAGCAGGCAGTGAAAACAGCCAAGGACCAAAGGGGAAAGAGTAATTCTAGAAAAACCAGGGGAAACCACAAACACAGTCCCCCACTTAGGCAGTTGATTTTCCCATATTTGGGGAAATCACAAGGGTCAGCACATCCAAAGTGCAATAGATGAGCTTCACCCTGAGAAAACCACTTTGATGATCATGGTATCTCCCCTGGCAGGTATGAGTTGGAATGGCCTCTGAACCTCCTGCCCCTTTCTGTGCCCTGTCCCCCAAAGGCATGGTGACCCCCCCCCCGGCTGCACCTCCTGATCAGAACAGGGCTGCACAGCCCCAGTCCTGAAAGAGGCCAAGAGAGCTACTCAGTGTTTTGAGGTGCCCCACAGGACTCCCATCAGGGGTTGGATATTCCTCCCACAATCTTCCAATGCACAGATATTAGCATACCCAATATGCGGGGAAGGCAGGGAAAGCGGGGAAATTCAAACTTTCAGTTAGTGAAGAGGCTGCTTGTCTGCTTCCTTGCTAATCCAAGCAGTTAGAGAGCTGGGAGAGAGACCTGGGACTGCCTGGTATTGTCGTTTTAAAATGTAAAATTTAGTTTAAAAGCTGTTTGTTTGGGATTAGTGCTTGGGTGAAAAGGTGCTCCGTTTGAGTTGAAACCTGCTTGTGTAGAAACGTGCATACTTGCTTTAAAAGCTGCCTAGAAAGTGTTCAGACCAGTGCCAATCAGCCATTAGATGGGGAGAGGGGAGGGGAAAGGAGCAGGAGCAGGAGCGGAGAAGAGCACAAAATGGCTGCTGGCTGCCTGCTGGCTTTTAGCTGTTTGGGGCTCTTTTTT